GATGTCATATCCGGTCGTTTTTAGAACGCGAATTTAGCGATAAGAACGGTTCGCTGTCAGTTCAGATTTTAGAGTACAAAGAGGACGGAGTGGCGTCGGCGTCGGCGTCGTCTCATTGGAGGAGACTGACGGAGAATGTTCTCTAATTGTAGAGAGCTTTTGAGGAGGACGTATTGGCCACGGCTGGTTGCTTCTACCTCAGAACTTCGTGTAACCGCGCCATGTTGAGATGAGAATCACGAGGACTGAACTCGGTCCTTCGGTTCGTGAATGTCGGTTTAGAGGCCCGGAAAAGTGTTAATGCGAAACCTCACACAGTTTAGATACACACGAACTGACCTTACCACGTGAGACGAAGAAAACATTTTTTTATAAAATTTGCTTATCTTGAAGTTCTTATAATTTTTATTTTTTGTGGCTGAATATTTGTTTAAAAGCAAACCGTGTTATCTCCATGTCACACTTTCCCTACGGCTAAGCTAGGCTTATTTTTTCTGTCCTGAAAATGCAGGTCGTAAGTTCCTCCGAAACGTTGGGGGCACTTCTAACGGACTGCGACACGTCATATCCCAGAAAACCGATTCACGGAGCTGAGGGCCGCAGATGCAGTCCAGTTATACCTTACTGTGCTTTGCGAGCTATTGTGAACACGTTTTCCCGCTTCTGGCTCCAGTCCATCTCACACCTTGCGTCCCATCTTCAGCCTCATTATTTATACCTTAACGGGCTTATCGTTACTCTCCGTTCGGATCAGCCGTTATTCACGGATTCCTTTTCATAGCACCCCCCTTCTCCCCTCCCCTCCACATGTCCCTCCCTCCCTCCCTCCCTCCCTCATACAACCCCTCTCTCATTGCCTCCGTCTGAGCACCTAACGCAGTTGGTGCTTCGTGTCCAGCAGCGGGTCTTCTTCGTGCATTATTTAACGATGAATTATAGTATCTGTGAATTGGAAAGGATTCGGAAGGAAGTGGTCTGATCGAGGAACTCTCCCAGCGTTTGCGGGAGTCACTGGGGAAATGCGCGTTCGCTTTCCATATCTGCGTCAGTTGGCAACAGGTAAACTCGGTTCTGGACCGACATTTATCAAAGTTCAGATAATGTATAAAAAGGTCTGGGAAGAGTTTGTGACACCTTCTGCTCCTTCGTGTGCCTCATTTATGTGGCGACGGTAATGTTAGGGTTCGCAAATTTAATGCCGGACTGCTGGCTAGAAGTCAGTTTGCGACCGGCCAGCTCCATCAAGGTTTTCCATGGTTTTCCTCGGTCCTAGAGCAAATGTTGAGTTGGTACCAAGATCCCACATTTCACTGCTTGCTTCGCATGAATCTTTCGGAGTGTTGAATCAAAATTCCACTCTGATACACGGCTCCAAGCGCTAATATCAAAATTCGCATCATGCGCAGTAGAACTGCTGCTGACTTCTCTGTCTTCTGCTTCTAAAGCATCCCCTTCCTGACCCATTTACCTTCTTCATTTCCCAACAACTTACCCTGTTTCAAACGTACCTCTACCAAAACAGGCAAGAAGCAGGAAAATTGTTGTAGCGTCTCTCGTTACTGTCCCTACTTCAACTTTTGTCCAGTTCAGTGACCCATTTCTGCACGTGACGCGCCCGCGGACGTCGTGCACTTCATAGAGGAGACGGCAGGCTGAAACTCACTCTGCCATCTTCTCAGCTAGATAAACACTGAAGAGTCACGTCGACGTTTACTGACGTTTCGGAGGGACATACTGCCTGCCTTCTCTTTCGTCTTGTTACTCACCGACCATGAAAAGTCAGTACTCTGCTCCGAGATGGCGGTAAACTTTTTCCAGACTGTACGGCGCCTCATCCCAGGAGACAGTTCTGTTCATCTGAAGCCTCAATTAGAGCTATGCCCCTGTTGCACGCGAAACATTTTCATAACGAGTTTGTGTGCACTGCGATTTCATTAGCTACTGCATCGCGGTACAAGGCAGCCATTTTACAATAATCGAACGGGTTTAAGTGGCCCATAAATCTTTATAGCTAATAAAATTCCTTAAAATCGAATTTCGGGATGTAATTACGTTTTTCGTGAATTTAAATGTGTTCGGGTGTGTTGAAGGATGTAGCCAAACGACCGCAACATTTTGAGGCCCGAAGGGGGAGGGAGGAGGAGGGTGGGAAGTGAAAATAGCCCCGATAACTGCAGGATACGTGCTAACCGCCAGGAACATTAATTTCTTGTCTAGATGCTGATTAGAATCTAAATGGCATTCTTCAGACGACCGAATGCGCGCTGAGAGCGGGGAATTCCCCGGCCTCGTGCAGCCGATATTCGGGGTAATCAGATTCACTTTGAGATGAGCACACCCCAGCGGAAGGGGGAGGGGTGATCATCAGACTAGTGTCACCTCCTGGGGTCTTCTTGACTCTTCCCACAGAAATACCCGGCGTTGCTGCAACACTGGTTGTACGTCATGTGACAGCATGTACCCCTTTCATACACAGCGGTTATCATGCGTACGATCTCTATTAACAGTCAAGAAAATATGCATTCCGCCCACAGAGTGTGTCTGTGTTCCGTGTGGTTCTCACAGTAAACAGCGACTGTTTCCCTAAACAGCATTAACCGGTTGGGCTTTGTAGTGGAGACATAATGTTTCCTGTGAGGTACGGACTGAACATACTAAAACTCTGCATTCTGCCCTCAGAGTGTATCTGTGTGTTCCGTATGGTTCTCACAATAAACAGCGACTGTTTCCCTAAACAACATTACCGGTTGGGCTTTGTAGTGGAGACGTAATGTGTTTCTTGTACGGTACGAACTGAATTTGTATATATAACTGAAAAGGAATTTTAATTCTTTCGATTTCGTAAAAAACACCGAGAACGCCTGCCATGGTTGGGTCGACTACTCCGCCTTACCTATACGTCAGAGAAGTTGCCGCATGTACACGGCGAAGTAGAGGTTCGTGATCTCTCTGCTGCACGGCATCCAGACAACACAGCGGTCATTACGGATGGAGACAAAATGAGACATGAATGTGCACTGACTTGTTGAATTGAGTCATCGGGGCGCTGATATCCACTTTAAATATACAGCTTCGTTTTGTTTAGCTGCTGACGTCAGTGAGGCGATTTTAACACAGAAAATGTGACTACGAGGCCGCTCTCTTACGTCACTGCTCCCAGCTCGGAGGTTGAGCAGGTTGTTATGCAATGTTTACATTGTACGTTCCGTGGTTGCCAGCGGTTGCAGAAACAGACTTGACAGAAACTGCACTTTCAAATGCGGCCAAGAGCAGTGTGCAGTGTTTGTGGGAACTGAGTGTACCGGAACTCTCAGTGAACTAATTCCGAAGAACTTGTGATTAATGAAGGCTTCATATCTCTGCTCATGTCTGCAAGACATAGCTGCTACGTGGGCCGTTGGCAGGTACGTGATACTAAAGCGGTATGGCGAGCAGTTGGAGTTCGATTCCCGGTAGGTGCACAGTGTCCAGCCCAGCCTCCTCCTGCGGAGGAACCGGGGCGGTTTGCTCTGTGGTAAGCGACCGGGGAATGAATGCGTGGAGGTATTCCTCCACTACCACGCACGTCCCTACTGCATAGTGCCTAATTGAGCGTACGGACAAATTTATCTTTAGGGAAAAAAACGTTTATTGTGCTTTCACGAGAGCTCGCCTCGCCGTCTCACACCTGCACCTCAGCCTGCCTCAGTGTCTTATTCGTCTGAATTTGAGGCCTTGTGTGAGGCAGTTTGTAACTGCCAAACTTTCAGGGCTTGCAAATTCCCAAGCCGGAGGCTGACCATCCCTTGTCCCTTCACAGTACAAGTAGCCGTTAGGAACGCACGGACATAGCTTTGCTGTAAGACGGGGCTTCAGGTTTGCTAAGTTCCTGACAGCAGTTCGAGGGCAGGCTGGGTTGACGCCAAAGGCGAGAATAACAAAATCCCTGTCCGTCAACTTAACAACTAACCGAACTACCCCTGAATGGTTATGTGATCAACCGCACGGCTGACGTGAGCAGAGATAAACTGAAGAGGCTCACGAGGTGCAGATGAGCGAGCGATTGGGCACGGAGCCCCTCTGCTGTCGTCACCAGCAGCGGCGCAACAGCGGCCACAGTGGCGTTTGTCCTGGGGACCGGAAGTTCTCGCAGCAGGTAAGCCTGGAGAAGGTGTTTCTAATTCTCTGAGTGCTTATAGAAGACCCAGCGTTGCTCTGTGTATTGACAACCGCGTTTAACTTCAGCAACATTTCCTAACGTTTGATTTTGTTTTGCGGCTGCTAGACGCTGGCCACAGCAAACTTACAGGCAACAGTGGGGCATTCATTTCCGCACCCCTCGATAAAGCCGAAAAGAGGGCGGAGGTTGGTCTCCACATATTCTTAACCTCGACGTTAGATGAATGATCTCCGTTAAAGTAACTAAGTAACTAGATAGAGCTTCGAACCGAGAGCCTCCCACATACAAGCTTAGAGTCTTGCCGTTCTCTGGCCCTCGCACTGAGTTAATAACAACTCATAAATCTCCCTTCAGATGTGGCGCTTGCCGTGTTCAAGCAAGTGGACGGCTTCCCACCGCGGCGGCCCGGGTTCGAGTCCAGATCAGGACATGTGGACAAAGTGGCACTGGGGCAGGTTTTCGCCGAGTACTTCCGTTTCCCCTGCCAGTTCTCATTCCACCGACTGCTCCACACTCACCATCTATCATCCTGGGATGGTACAGTAGGCTAATTAGTGACCGACGTACCAAGTGGACTCAGTCTGACCCCAGCCCAAGAAAAAAGAAAGTCGACGGCCCAACAAGTGAGGCGGGAAAGCTACTGTCAGCTTCACAAGAACGATTCTGTAGCTGCATGGAGTTGGGTGATATTGGAAGTCTGTGTGTCCTTCTGTCTGTTCCCTGGATTCAGATTTGGGCGTTCATAACAGTAGATAGACCAATTAGCTGATGTAATCCTCAGCATGAACATCTTGTCACTGGGGGTGACCCCCACTAATTAAATCCATATTTCATTTTGCAGGTTTCCTCGGGAGCAGCAAACGTTGCCAAATCACTTCTACTTCACGGACTTCGAGCGGCACACGGCGGAAATCGCTGCTTTTCATCTGGACAGGCAAGTGCACAGTGGCACGCATGCGCGCGCATCTTGGCTCTTCCAGAAACCGGGGTTTAAGCCGATGAGTGAAGAAACAAATGTAACAATTCTGTCGCGAGCCTTACCTTTTGTTTGGTCGTCTCGAACACCGTGAATATTGTACAGAAGCGAGTGCTGTAATTTTCTCTACAAGTTTTGTTTGAAATATTTTCCCCTCTGATAGCTGCGTGCGCCATGCAAACTTGCGTTATTTTTGCCCAGTTTTAATAAAAACTTGATTGTATCTACGAATTTTGACAAAGTTGCCCTCAGTGTCAAATTTCATGAAAATCCATTGAGCGGTGTTCTTCCTGTTACGTACAGACGGACAGTCAGACACACTGAAAAATAACAAAGAAAAGATTCATTTTTGATGTCTGAGGTTGTCACGGGTTGACTGTTAAGAGTACAGTCCTAGAGGCTGTAGCGCCGTGTAGTTTCAGAGGAACCGTTTTTTTTACTGCTAGTGGGGTGGGACTAAGTCCCTTGTACTGCGGCCCCTTCTGGCCTATTGTACCAGCCCCAGATGAGAGGTGAGGGTGATTGTGGAGCAATTGGTGGAATGAAGATTGGCAAGGGAAACCGAAGTACTCGGAGAAAATCTGCCCCAGCGCCACTTTGTCCACCAGAAATCCCACTTGACCAGACCCGGATCGAACCCTGGCCGCCGCGATGGGAAGCCAGCGACTAACCGGTTGAGCTATGTCGCGGCCTGGAGGAACCGTTTGCCACCATATTCAGGTCCGAATAGTAAAGCCAAGCAGGAAATCAATAGAAACAGACGGCAATCTTACTCCTGCGAGGGACTAGAGTAAAACCACGTCCCCTGACTTCCGGTTGGTAGGGAGGGCAGGCACGCTTAAGGAGCGAGTTCTGGAAGCAGTTGGCGTTATTTCCACTTGCTGCTTGCATTAGCGTCTGTGTGCAGGGGCCGGCAGCCCCTTGGTCATCTAGAACCGTAGCTACACGCCTGTTTCTGCGGGCGCCGATTCACAGACGTGAAATTGCAGTTGGGACCTGGGACAGGCCTCGGTAAGGGCTGTCCAAATTATGCTTGTTGACATACATCAGCTTTCTCGCTAAATTTTTTCTCCTTGAAGACGTAGGTGATTCTAAACAGTGATTTGGAAGTGTAAACTGGTCCTTGGCGCATATTAACTTCGCTTTCCGAACTGCTTCTTATTCGAGGAGTGCTTGGTTACTGGCCTTTAGTCCATCCCATCTCGTATCTTATTTGCAGATGTACGCCCCGAGGGGAACAGTTGGAGAGGATGCCCCAGGGAAGTGGAGGGATTGCTTTCCGAGGAGCTCCATAAATTCTACGCTTCCCCCAAATGCTATTGGTATGACCCATTCAGAGACTATTAGATGGGCGGGACGTGTAGCACGCATTGATTAGATGACATACGGATTTTTAGGTAGATAGATAAAAAAAGGTAAAGCTGCCCCTGTTATGGGGCCGCGAAGACCCATAACTTTGTGAGACATCGAGGCTCCAACATTTTCTAGGCAATCGGCTCACAGATTGTGCCCTTTATCCCCCGAAGATTCCTCGTACTCATTTCTGTTAGAGGTTGAGTCGACCCCAAGTCCAATGAGCTCATCGGCAATCAAATCCTCGACCTTCCGGCTTGTAGCATAGTGCCTCTAAGCTTAGGTTTCCGCGTGCCCCCTTAAAGTAAAGAAGTAAAGCTATCCCTGTAACAGGCCGTGGAGGCCCATTGAGTTGTGAGACGTCGAGGTTCCCACACTATCTAGACAATCGGCTCACTGATGGCGGTGAGGTTGTCATCCTTACGCGCCGGCCGCCCTTTACCCCCAGGAATATTCTTGGTACTCATTTCTGTTAGAGGCTGAATCGATCCCAGGGCCATAGAGCGGCTGGAGGGATTAGGTAAATTGAAAAAAGTCCACCTCATCTTGATTCGATCCCCGCGCGTGCTCCCTTAGGATGGATAAATAAATAGTTGGGCAGGTATCAGGCAGGACGCTGCTGCTTCTGATCCCGCAGAGCCTAAAGCCATTCTGAAGAATAATTATTTAAAAATTCAGTTCCGACCTAACAGAAAATACAATGAATTTTCATTACAAACCCCGGCCGGTCACTGCTGTTTAGGAAAACAATTTTTTTGTTTTGTTTTGAGAATCATGTGAAACATAAATACATTGTGTGAACAGAGAATGCAGTGTTTTTAAAGCAGGCGGTACATATAGTTACCACTGATGGCTGTCAGGGCCAGCGTGACTCTCTTCCTTGCAGTTTGTGTTCGTAAACAGGGATTTTCTTTTCTTTCCTGCTCTGTTGAGTTGGAAGGTATTTGCGTTGCAGAGAACTGGCTGCTCTCCTTTGTACCTCGATGTGCATCACCGTAACTGAGAGTTCTTTACAATTCATCAGAAGGCACTAAATTCCCCACAACTTTATCTAAACATGTACACAAAAACCAACCAGGGGACCCTTTCCTGAGCCAGATGTATCCACTTCACGACACTTCTGCCTCCTGTTCCTTTGAGATCCACTTTAATATTATGCTCCCATTTACGACCAGGTGATCCATAATTTGTATATTTCAAATAGAATGTATCCAATTCTCGCCCCCCTTGGTAACCTTAACTTTGCCCACCCCTGTCGAATACGACCGGAAGGGGTGCTGTGGTACGGTAATGTTGGGGTGGGTGCCCCATTGTGGCATGTTCATGCATGTAACGTGTTGAGGGACGTGTAGCGGACTGTGGCTAGGTGTGAATGTTGTGACGCCGAGCGCCAAACCAGAATACAGGTCTGTCTGTAGCACAGAAGTGAATTCTGAGGCAGTTGCAGCTGAGCTGAGCGGGTTAGCGCAGTGGCTAGGTACTAACCTCGGTCCTATGTCCGGAAATCCTGATTCCCTCGTGGGAGATGCCCCCTCAAATAGGTCACGGCCACTTCCTTCCACATTCTGTCGATTTCATTGTTTGGCCGACGCTGTGTAACCGGAGCTGGAAACAAATAAATCGCTCCCGTCCTGCACCCCGCACAGCAAACGCGGCGCAGAGCCCGAATATGAATTATGTAGCAGTACAATAAAACTGGGAGTTATGTGCTTTAAATTACACGGAAAATCGTAATAGTGGCCTTTCATTTCTGCTCTGATACAGAATGGTGTACATTATTTAGAACGGAAAATGGGAACACAGCACAAAAAGCCAATAGAAAGCTGTCCTCCCCGTAGAAGTACAGAGGGTAGCACCTGTCGCGTGTCTTTCTTTCTTAAATTGTCTCCCGCTTTTAAAACGGGAGGTGCTCTGCACAGGACCAATGGTCCCGCTGTCAGCAGCCCCACCCCTTTCCAAACCCTTGGTTTCGCCACCCAACGGGGTGCTTCATAGGGAACTACCCGACGTGTCCTGTCTACTGAAGCAGCATTCTATGCATTTAATTAACGTCGGTGCGAATATAATAGAATGCCCCTTAACCCGTTGTTTCTCAAATTATGGTTCACAACCCCCTCGGGGATCTCTGAGGTCTCAGAAATTGTTTAAAACGTGATTGTATCCATTTACAGTGCGGGTAAATCAGTTGGAGCCAAGAAATGTTTCCCAATTTTGTTTCGTCACTGTATAGGAACATTTTATTCTTACGGTGCATGGAGAGAGGCTGTCAAGCTATTGTGGCATATTTGCTCAAAGCAGGAATTGTGGAGGCAACAGTAACTGCTGCTAGGTAACGTCTGTGTAACACGCAACAATGGGGCAACTGTTGGAAGCGGTGTATTCCATGTGGTCCGTGCAGAAGCTGTATAACAAGGAGCAGGCTGCAGTTAGAAGAGTAGGAGGTTTGTGTAAAATAGCCGCCAGTCTGCGAGGACATGAGCCCGGGAGCAGTGGAACGTCCACTGTTGGAAGACGTTACTAAGCAACGTGACTGCGAAGTGTTTGTATAATGGTGATATGTAAAGTGCAGCCACGAGTTGTGTGTTTAAGAATCAGTAAATCCGACTACCAATCCAAATCCAGTCTCCAGTCACGTGACTATTATGAACTATTTAGAATGAAGAAGGAAGTTTCCTGACTGAGGTAAACAACAAAAAAGGAAACACGAATGCTCACCACCAGGTCTGTTCGCTGGCTCCACCCGTAGAGCCAGTGTAGAGCCAGTCACTCCCGCTTCTGTACAGTTTTAACTGTGCCAAACAAAAATGTATATATATTCAATAGATTCAGGGAATTTGAACGCCCCAGTGTTTCTAGAAGTCTGGTGTGGCTGCAGTTCCATCAAGCCACCGGAGCGTGTCTCTGTGCGCGCCCGGCTCAGCCAATGTACACATATTTGCTTCTCCGTTCATTTTACTATGGATGTGATTTAAATAAAAAGTATTACGGTGGAATAGCAGCGAATGTAACGCCACGAGATGGCTGCTGCGTTTCTGCCTGTGCCCGTTACCACGGAAGATTTTATTCATGAGTTAATTCTCACTTTCAGCAAAACTTTGTCACGGATTTTAACGGCAACTGGTTCACTCATCTGTGCACCAAGTGTAGCGTGTGGTGGTGATTATCAGATTGTGGTCGTCTCTGTTACGACGCCGTATAGTCTGGTAGGTGGGTGCCGAAGTTTGGATACCGTCATGAAATGTCTGAATGTGCCGGTCAGCCGCGTTATTTTGGACACTGCCTCATCAACTTGTGTTGTTTCTGAAATTGGACCCGTTTCCTTCATCAGATGTAAGGGAAGAAAGGTTTCTTACTCGGTTCTGCCCCGTTACAAGAAGCTACTGGATGCTATAATGACGAGAACATAATCAATTTCCGAAACTTGTGAACAAGTTCAAGGCGATGGACAATTTTCTTGTTGATTATTCCATGAAGATGGAGGAAATACGTTAGTCCGAAACTCTGGTAACCTCCTGTGAGACCACACGGCGTCATCACCCTGAAGATCCACTAAAAACCTAACCTCCACGAAGGAGAGTCCTTGAGAAGCGTCCAGTTGCTCAGCGACTCAAGAAATTCCTAGCCATTTTATGGAACGAGAATGTTCATTTCCTTGTTCACAAGAGCCAGCCTGCCACTGGTCCCTGTCCTGAGCCTTCTGAATCCAGTCCACACCATCCCTTTCTTTATGATCGATTTTAATATTATCCTCACATACTCATCCCGTTTCTAGAGGCCTCTGGCCTTGAGGTTCTCCTGCCGAAAACTTTGTACGCACTTCTCTTGCATACCATGCCCATGTCATAATATTTGGACAGGTGGGCAAATTATGAAGCTCCTCCTGTTACTTCCTCCCTCCTAAAGCACAGAGCATAGAGTGAGTGCCAGCGCGAACCCGCTCGACGACAATTCCGCCTCTCCCACGTGTTCAGAGACGGAGTTGCCACTAGGTACAACGGATCGGTCTCTCAAAATGACCCCGAAAGGAGCGCCTCACAAATTCGCGGGGAGTAACCACAGAATGCTGCGTCGTGCGACACAGCCGGCGTCTGGTGTCGAAGCAGCGTGCGGTAAGTTGGAAGGAAGCGTCCGGTGGGGTGTAGTGACGGTCGGGCCTCGAGTTGAACTGTACGTAACAGGACGCTGACGTCATAAATTGCTGCCGGCCCTCATGAGCATAGTAATTGTTGGTTTCTGGACCCAATATCATTTTTGTGTTTGGAAATCGGGCCTCTCCTCTCCGACGAGAGGGAGGGATGTGAATGGATTGCAGAGAATTAGGGTGGGGTGTTAAAATAATTATCTTTCCCAAAATACCAGCGCAGATGTCTGTGCACGGCGAACGGATGTTGCATATGTTCAAGGAGTCAGACGTGCATACGGGGCGTGCGAAACCATCCGAAACATCACGGGGAGCATTTAGTAGTAAGTGGCATTCAGAAGTTTGTCGAGAAGGTTCGAGTCCTTTCTTTGGAGTGGAGGCGACATGCCTCGGGTTGGCCAGCCCTGCTGTGAAGCATCTATCGGAAAATTAAACGCTTATTCCCAGGATCTCTTGTGTGACGTCAGGAAGTGACGTATCGCTCTTTAAGCCTGATGGGATCCCCGTGACGTTATTCTGCAGTATAAACAAGTGCGTCCACCGCGAACACTTGTCACGCCGGATGGGGTCGCTTTATTTGCTGTGCGGTCCAGATCTCACCCCCAACCCCTCTTCCCATGATCCATCCAACTTCTTATTTACTCTTCCCCGTGGCTCCCTCTATATGTTTCAGGGCCCAGCCCGCCACCCTGCAAACAAAACTATACCACGAAAATAACGTAATGTTCAAGTCGATATCTGTTCTTCCTGTGCTTCTGTCATAGCCCCTAACATGAGGAGGCTTTCACTTCGAGGACCTGAAGTGTGGCTGGGAGGATAATATTAAAATGTTCTTAAAGAAATCGGGTTTAAGAGTTTGGACATTATCGACCGCCCTATTTTTATGTAAAGCAATGTTTCGCATACTTCACTCTGCTTCCTTCTTAAGGTAGAGAGCCTTAATCATTTTGGTGCGGACAATAGAGCTAGTGCCTATGTCCGGACGGAGAAGCGTTTCTGAAATCAAATATGGCGGTGGATGATGCCCACTGTTAATGTACCATCGTTATGGGCGGGCCATTGCCTGGCTCTTGTGTGCGCGGTAACGAACACAGGAAGCGAGGAAAGGCTGAAATGTGACGTTGTGTGCTGCAGGTTGCTGGGGTTCCGGCGGGCCATGCCCGTCACAGGGCGCGTCCTCAACATGACGACGGAGCTGTACGCCTTGGCCGACGGAGAGCTGCTCAAGACCTTTTTCGTCTCGCCGTCCAACAACCTGTGTTTCCACGGCAAGTGTTCCTACTACTGCGACACGGCGCACGCCATCTGCGGGAACCCTGACATACTGGAGGGCTCTTTCGCGGCCTTCCTACCGCCGAAAGAGACGGCCCCCCGCAAAGTCTGGAGGCATCCATGGAGGCGGTCCTACCACAAGAGGCGGAAGGCCCAGTGGGAGCAAGGTACATGTCTTGTCTGTTTCACACCTGCCCTCAGTTGCCAATGTATGTATAGTCACGCCTTGTAAGACGTTTATCGACGTTTCAGAGCAAGGGGTGGGACGCAAGCACTCTGCTTAATACTTGCCTTGTTCACTCTTTTTATCCTGAAAATGGAGACAGTTTGTTCCCTTGAAACATCAGCAAACGTCTTCAGCGTCCTATTCCATTAAATAACTTTTTATTGATTATTTTGTTATGGAATCGTGTGTTATGGTAGGGACATACTGCCTCCTTCGTCAAGGTAAGACACCTACCAGACGCTATCGGTAGCTCAGAGTATACAGCAGACAGGCTTGGAGGTACTGAGGAATATCATGAAACGCCCATGTGAGGATAGCCATTCCCCAGCGTGAGGTTTAGCCCGGGACAGTGAAATGCCTCCGGCACTGGTCCTGAGACGTGGCCACAAGAAGTGTAGATGGAGCACAGGCCTGTTATGTCGAGGTCCTGCAGAAACATGTACAGTCTGGCTGCTTCTTGTTGTTGTTGCAGCAGAAGGCAGGTCTGAGTGTACAAAACACCAACCAGGCGTGACCTCGTTTTTCGCTAAACAAGGCAAACATTTGTTTAAGTCCACGTAGTACCAAAGTTTACCAACAGACGGCAGTAAAATCAGGGCATCAAGAGGGAGGGGCTGTTCTGCAGGTTGTAAAGCTGCCCATGGTAACATAGCTTGACAGTAGCAGAAATTTGGCATCATTCTTTGGTCCACAACACCCCTCGCCCCACCTTCACCTTGTCATAAAAACTCCCTGAAACATGAACAAGAGACTTAAAATTCTTACCTTGTTGAATATTAATATTATGGTCTCTCTGTGTGTTGCCCTGACGATGGAGACTTTATGCGTGCTATAGTTACATTCCGTGGCACTGTTATAGTTGCATGTAGTTACGACCTGTATGTAAGTGGTCATTGAATCAAATTATCAATCCAAACCCCGTCGAGAGTCACTCATTCACTTGATCGTGCTGGGGCTGTATAACTAGGGCTAGTAGTTCCGTTGAGAGTTGCAGTTGTGAGAAGCTAGCAGCAGCTACAGACTTCATGTGCGCTGTAGTTACAGGCGTCTTGGGGTGTGTAGCTCAGTGAGACTGTCACTTGTAGTTACGACCTGTAAGTGCCCAACAAATCCAGTTATCAGTACAAACCCCGTCTATGGTCACACTTGTAACGTGACAGTATTTAAGCTCTGTGCTTCTGAATGGCAGACAGGAAGACAAAATACAAAATGAACGTCAGCCTTAGCAAATAATATGTATTGTTTCATATAACTGGACTTTGAACTTGCCGTGGGACAATGAGTTTGTATCTCACGGGCTGAAGGATGACTTCCCGCCCCCGCCCCGCTGCGTGTTGGCCACCCTGTGGTCCTGCACTGCTGAAGCGGCCGGATGGCCCCCCAGAGACCGAACCTGTCATCAAAACTTCCTTCTCTTTTTGCTGGCTCTCGGGCGGGAGATGAAGATAAGGTTCGGATCTGGCCCTTGGCGAAGTCTGTTGGTTCCGTTTGCGCATGCTTCATCTCTCGCCTGGGATCTATGAAACAAGCCATACAAGTCGTGGAACCATCGTTAGTCAAGCAGGAGGATTCCGTGAAGACGTATCTGGGATGGAGGTACAGCTCCAGGCATTCTTAAGGTCGACGCAAGGTGAAGCTTATTCCCGGGTGCCGGGCGCCAGGGTCACCTGGCCACAATACCTGCAGCAATATTACGATATATTAGCTCAAATTAAGCCAAGACCACTTCTGCTGACCTCACCGTTAAATTGTACATAACAGTTTAATGAATACTCATAACTAAGGTAAGCGTAAGTGAGCACCTCATAAAGCCGTGTGTGGGGAATAGAGGTTTGTTGGTAATCTTCACGCTTCACCTCCCTTTACCGGCCAGGAACGGAACACAGCACAAACACACACTGTCGACAGAATGCAGAGTTTTAGTGTGGACCCGGTAGTCATGGGATACGAAGTTGAGCATAGCCCAGTGCCAGTCTGGAATTGAATTTCTGTCGCCCAGCACGCAACTAGTCAAAAGCTGTTGGTGACTTAGCTAGTCACGAAATTTTCCGTGTATTTACCGTGTTCACAAGAGCCTGCAATTGGACCCTGTCTTGAACTATATGAATCCAGTCCACACTCTGCCGTCGTATATTGTGGTATCCCTGTAAGAGGCCGTGGAGGCCCACAGGGTTGTGAGACGTCGAGGCTCCCACATTTTCTAGACAGTCGGTTCACAGATGGCGATAAGGCTATCAGCCTTACGCTCCCGCCGCCCTTAACCCCTCAGGAAGATTCCTGGTACTCATTCCTGTTAGAGGCAGAGTCGACCCCCAGGGACATAGTGCGGCTGGAAGGATAAGCCAACTGAAAAATCCAGTGACCTCATCGGGAAAGGAACCCGCGACTTTCCAGCTTGTAGCATAGTGCCTCAACCAACTGAGATACGGCGTGCCCCCATGTAGCATAGTGCCTCAACCAACTGCGTTACCTCTTGCCAGACAATGTTAGTGACAGTGGTGATACGGTGTATTTAATAGATGCTGTTAGAAGTTATGTCTGTTTCTGCCAAAAAGGTGAAAGTGTTTGAACTGCCGGTGCAGAGAGAGAGAATGCGTTTGAACGGTGCAGCTGGAAGCATGTACGTTGTATGGAGGGGTGGGGTTAAGTTGCCCTGAAGGAGAACCAGACAAAGATAATAAGATGTCTCTTGATGTTAAGCAGATGTGGAGGAGACAAGCCGGAACAGAACTGTTGAGGGTAATTTGAATCATGAGTTACGTGGGTTGCTAACCTCTCGCACCCAAAATGCACAGTTCTGCGGGCTAGATCTTACTTGATTTGCCGCTTCAGCGTACATCACTGAAATTCGAGACTCTTTTCAGACATGCTGGGATAGTACCTCAAATTAGGTCTCACCCACTCCGTGTGAAATTAATTATCCGGTAATAAAGCTGCCATGCGGCGCCATACAGTCTTGAGATATTTGATAAAGCCCATGTATGGGCGAACATATTTCTCTTTACAATATTTTCCATCCTGGATAACGCAGTCAGTATAGCGACTGGCTACGGGCCGCACGGCCGAGGGGTCACAGTTGGAGTCCTGGTAGGGGCCAAATATTTCTCTCCACGTCTCCACGGTTCTGGGGCCCAAACAGCTTGTTATCCAGTGGGGACCGGGTTCTCTTTCCCGCGATAAAGCAGCCGGGACGTGAAACTGACGACCCCAACTAATGCCGAGGTAAAAAAATACGTGGATCTATCATCCACTCCCCCATACGCCTTCATGGCCTATTGTTTAATTAGTTAAGCACAGGGACAACATTGGCTTTTACCTCACCTTTGTTCAACTCACCACTGAGAAGATTCAGCTGTCGGACATCTCCTCACATCCGTGTGTTTATTTGGGGGCGCCTCACACTCGGCGCTGTCCGTGCTTGCAGACTCTGACTACTGCACCATGGTGCGGGACATCCCTCCGTACGACTCCGGCCGCCGGCTCCTCGACCTCATGGACATGGCGGTGTTCGACTTCCTGACTGGCAACATGGACCGACACCATTACGAGACGTTTCGGGTGTTCGGCAACGACACCTTCCCTCTGCACCTGGACCATGGCCGCGGGTTTGGCAAGCCGTTCCAGGACGAGGTGTCCATCCTGGCTCCAGTGCTGCAGTGCTGCCTCATGCGGCAGTCCACGCTCACCACTCTGCTGAGGTGAGTTCCGGAAACTGAACATTTCATGTGCTCCCTACTGAATACGAACTGAGGTTTCGCTGTATAGCTTGAATTGGCGTCCACGTATTTTCTTGGTTTGGGTAGTAAAGCCCCTACAACCCGGGTTCGATTACTTGCTCTTGCCATATTTGTCGGGCTAAAAGGAGAGGCTGTAGAAAAGCCAGTGTGCTCCTTGCCACAGCTGTGCACGTCCAAGGAAATCTTGAGTCAAGTTTCGTTTACGCATCTGAATATGTATGTGTGTATGTATGTATGTATGTATACGTATGTATGTAGGTGCATTTGTCTGTGTGTATTCCTCCTCGTGAAATCTCAAAACATGTCTTCAGTCCCCACATATGAGTTAAGCCATGCCAACGTGTGAAGACGTAATGTCTCATCGTACCCGAGCTCCGGCAGTTCATTAACCCCTTTAAAGCCCAGTGGTTAATATGTGTACCACCCGTTTCAACATACTAAAATTCTTCTGCCCACAGAGTGTATCTATGTGTTCCGTATGGTTCTCACAATAAACAGCGACTGTTTCCCTAAACAGCATTAACCGGTTGGGCTTTGTAGCGGAGACGTAATGTTTCCTGTGAGATACGAACTGGATTCTTTGATGATGATGATGATCTGCATATCGAGCTGACAGAGGAACAGGGACCTTCATAGTTTGAGTTCTTCACGAAATGTTACTGGGTGGCCATATCACGGAGGATACTTATGGGCCGGATGTGTATCACATGTGAGGGAGATAGTTTATAGGAACATTTAATCGGATAATCTGACAGTAAAGAAATGAGTTAGAAGACACGGGCATTGAAGGAATGATGATAACTGTGACATGTAGATCCATTAGCAAGTAACAGCTGTGTAAACAGGCGGCAGTACAACAGTCGTTGCTACGGAATACCACTGTGGATACTTTGTTTCCCCGGAAACGAGAGAACACGCAATAATGGAAACGGTGTTTTCCGTGCGGTCCGTCCCGACGTTATTATAACGAGGACGAGAAAATCTTGAATTGACTTTTAGGAGAATATGGCCGCCAGCCAACGAGGACGTGAATCCTTCAGCAGAGGAACGTCCACTGTTGGAAGCCGCTACCAAGCAACTCAGTGAAGACAGTGACTGAGAGCACTTAGTTTTTGTGTGACAGTGATTTGTGAAGTGTAGTCACGAGTTGTAAAAGTGTCCAATAAATTCGATTACCAATCGAAACCCCGTCAGTCACTCAATCCCGTGACAGTATGAACGTCAATAAACGGTCTGTGTGTGTCTAGCGTCCAGTGGCGGTCTCTGTGATCATGCAGTTGTACAGTGCAGACATATGGTTTCGGCGTGTCTGTCACTGGTTGCACCGTTTGCACTGACAAGCCTATGGCATGAACGCCCGGAATGTGGAATGTCAATGCCTCCATAGCCTGTGTAGTATATTCAACGGGTAATAAATTGCGCGTATGTATGTATATCTCTCCTCTTGACGTAAGCCTAATAAAGGCTTCTAGGAAGCTTCGCCCCTCTCTGTGTAAGCAATACAATACGTCATCGACTGTGCGCAAAAACGAGCTATAAACCATAAGATGAAATTTTGCATTTATATAACAAATAAGTCATACTGTTTCTTGCGTAATTCATTTGTATTCCGAAATGAGTAAGAGGCGATGGAAGAGCTCTGAGCACCCCTGGCCGAGATACGAACCAGAGTATTCCAAATACAAATCATGTTTCACCGCTGTGAAAACCTACCCTTTGGAAACAATCCAGTTGTAACATTCTGCGTCACACAAGAGATCAGATGCTTATTAGCACCTTAAAGCACAGTGGTTAACAGCGAAAACTCTGCATTTTGCATTTCGTATGATTTTCAAAATAAGCCGTTATTTTCCGAAGCAACAACATCAAGCGGCTGCTTTTTGTAATGGAGACAGCGTTTCCTGTGAGGTACGAACCGAACTGTTATATAATATGTAGTTTAATTCCAGAGTGACACAATGAACAACATTATTCACATCTTGTGATTGAAGCTGCGTCCTCGTGGCCGCTGGACTGCAGGCAATTCCCGCCTTCCTTTCGTGCTTAAAAGGACAATAAAGGGTATTGTGATGGTGGCTCTCAAACCCAAAATGCAACCTAATTCTCTTATGTAAGATTTGAGGTTTTCACGGCAGTGACTGTGAACAATGCCGTGTTCTAGGATGTGCCGCCGTGTAGATAGTTTGTTAACCGACGTTTCGGAAGAACGTATCGCCTCCATCATCGCTTGCGGATTTCTTATACCCTGAAGATGGAGGCGATGTTACCCCGAAACATCGGTTAACAAAATATCTACACGGCGCCATATTCTTCACAGTTCTTTTATGTTTTTAAAAATGGAATTTGTAGGGCTATATCCATACAGACGGGGCCGGGTGAGGGCTGAGTACCCGCCACGGCGCGTAGAGGCGCCTTGAGATTATAGTGGGCCCCGACGCACCTGCTGCTACACGACGGATTTTATTTTTATTTCTCGTGATTTAAAACAGGCGGTATATATTTTTTATTTCAGTTTGCGACATCCAAATTACATGCACTCCACATTAATAAATAATTCAAGTTACTTCCGTACTTTCTTTAGGAGAGAGAAGTAATTCAGTCGCTGTGTAATCTAATTCTGCTTGTGGGCGGTATTTCTCTTGCACACTTACTGTTAATGGGACATTCTCTGGGTAGTGGGGCAATTTTATTAGTTCATGTTGCATGTAATGTTTTAAGGGCCAGAGACCTAATTTAAAACTCTGGCACGTTTTATACGTTTGTGCCCAAAGTGAAGGCCGTGAGCCGTTATAAATCCACTGCCTTTCCATGCCTTCTTCAGTACGTATGAAATGTAGCTATGGAGGTGATGTCCGTGTACTGTGAGATGTTTCAAGGGAAGGTCCTGGCTTCGCTATGCTGGTCGAAGAGGTAAGCCAAGCAACAAGGAGAGTCTTTGTATGTTCCTCCTAAACGACGGAAAAATTATACCAGACTACACGGCGACACATCCCAATACATAGTGCTCTTCAGTCTTTGAGGCTTCTAGTAGGGCTCCTTTGATGGGGATCAATCCGGCTTAAGGGCCGCATCAACATGGGACATGCATGCCTGCCCCGAGCAGTTCAAAGCCATGACCTTCTTAACCATTTTCATTGCAGCGACTGTCTGCTGAAAGCCAGAATTGTAAAGCCAGCAGAGAAAGCCGTTTGCTAGGGAACGGTTCCGTAAACGCGACTGTTCCCTAGGCAGTGGCTTAGTAGCCTTCACGTGATAGACACGGACGCAACAACAGAAGGGTTGTTGGAAGCGGTGTTTTCTGTGCTGTCCGTGCTGATTCTGCATAACGAGGGCCAGCTGCCGTCACTGGTCAGCGTGTTGAGAGTTGCTGTTGTGAGAAGAGAGAAGCTGGTAACTGTGGCCGGGGACAGTTCGGGAACCCAGAGGAAGGGGAATGCCCACCATTGGAAGCCGCTACCAAACAACGCAATGAAGGCCGTGACTGAGAACATTAGTCTGCGTGTGATTTGTAAAGTGTAGTCACAAGTTGTTTAAGAGCTCAGTAAATCCTGTTACCAAACCGAAGGCCCCCAATGTCACTCTATCACGTGACAGTAGGTACCACGTGCTTTGATATTAAAAACTCTCTGTTCTGCCTATGCTGTGCATTTATGTGTTCTGTATCATTCTCACAATAAGCTGCGATAATTGAGACGCAGTGTGTTTTCTTTGAGGTACAAATTAACTTTTTAAATATTATTTACACGAGCTTAATATTTCAAAGGATTTTGTTTGTAGAGATGTTTATTTAAGTAATTTGTTTCCTGTATGCAGACATATAGGCGTATTTGAATCAGTCCTCGTCTGGCCTGTAGGGATGGACCAGCCACAAGCTTTCGCAAACTGTTAGGTTCCTTTCTCTAGGTCACACGATGTGTTGGGTCCCTTGGAAGGGCTCATACGCAAGCCCTTTCATGACAACGCTGCTAAGAATCTCGTGTGTACGAGGTCTGTTGTACCTGTGTTTGAGATGTCACCCGGGATGTCGCTTGACATCGTGACATATGTCACCAATATGTCTGTGGCGCCTGGATGGATACAGTGAGTTCTCCGCAGGTTGTCTGGCTGTTGAAGTACTGGCGCCCTGCAATTCAACGGAGATCTGGGGCCTGTCAGAAGAGTTGGCTCATTTATGTACTTATGCTATTGGTCATGTGGACGATTGGGTCAAAGCTGTCAGGGGTTTGAGCAACAGCGATCTATGGACGGTATCTTTACTGCGACACTTAGACCCGTGTTCCTTCCGTTGTGTATTTATTTACTTATGATTTGTAAGATTTAAGGTTTACTCTGTACCAGCTCTGGCCCACTACCTGCTGGCTATTCCACCAGACCCTTCCCCTCCCCCTTCCCCTCTACTATTTCCCTGTGGGGCCAAGTCACTCCTCCTACTCTTATACAGCTGTGTTTACTCGACTGGACTCAGTCTGTTGCACCTGCTCTGCTGGTTCGTTCGCGGATTGCTTCTTGTCTTCTACACTGAAAATGGAGGCGATACGTTCCTCCGAAACGTCGGTTAACAATTTCTACACGGCGCCACACCCCAGAAGACGGCTTTTTCATACTCAACAACTGTGTCAGTATTTAAGATTGTGTAGTATTGAGCAATAGGATAATTATTGAATAAGGAGTTGCGTGGAAAATAAACAGAAATTTAACTGATCTAAAACTCTTGGTAAGTGTATACACACACAGGGTCCTCAGAAAAAGACCCGGCAGTTTTAAGCGCTTATATATTGTCACATGATTGAGTGTGATATAGACGGGGTTTGGATTGGTAGTTGGATTTATTTAACTCTTACAGAACGTAACTACAAATAACAATAGCGCTACTGCTAATTCTCTGTAGTTCACTAGAACACGTAGGAAGGCTTCTCAGTCTGCTTTCCTTCACCGGTTGTCGCCTGGTAACGGCTTCCAAC